ATTTTGCAGTAAATGGTTTGAACCCGGGGGTAACATGTGAAGGTGTAGTCTGATCGTCCGGGTGAGTGTAGTCCTGAGAAGGACTGTTGTCGGTGGCAGTGACTGACGTTTCGACAACCTGTGCGGAAGTCATCATCAGAGTCAAGTGAATGATTGTTGTCAGTAGAATGTTCTTATTCCAGTTCGTGTGAAATGATCGGTTGGTTTTGCCGTGATGTTATTGGCTGTAAGACTCAAGTGACGTAAGTCGGTCGTGATTGGTCTGTTTCGGTCTGTCGGTAAAGCTAGGTTGTCCTTTTTCGGAACTGGAATAAGAACATTCTACTGACAACAATCATTCACTTGACTCTGATGATGACTTCCGCACAGGTTGTCGAAACGTCAGTCACTGCCACCGACAACAGTCCTTCTCAGGACTACACTCACCCGGACGATCATACTACACCTTCATATGGCTGTGTCTTATACGCCAATTTTTTATATTCTATGTACCTTTTTTCTCTAGACCGGTCTAGATGCCGGTCTAGATGGGAAAATCTAGACTGCTTTCAATATTGATTTCAGCCAATCAAATTCATGAATTTGGTAGTTCCCAGTCCTTGTGAGACACAGCCATATAATAAATCTGCATATTAACTCTTTAAGTTTGGAGGTTGGATAATGCTAACCACAAGATAAATCTCTATCTGATGGATAGTGCAGTACGCTTTGTTATCACTTACTGGTATGTGCCAGATGGTGATTTATGGTATTATCCGCCTTTTTCAACAAGGCCTTGATTGTTAATTCTTCCCTCTGGCTGCTACACATTTCCTTTTAAATTAGTTACGAGAATTTGGTGTTGGATCAAGTAAACAACTTCAACCAAATATTGAGTTACCTGGACTGGCGGACTGGGTAAACGGTAGGCTGCGAGTAAACACCCTGGGAACACACATCTTAGCGCCAATTTCCCGCCAACTTGCTACTATGTTTCAACATGGCGGACGAAGTACGCTCACCGGCCAAAAAGCGAAGAAAAACCGGGAAGAGAGTATTAGATCGGGACAAGAAGGTCGAGGAACAAGAACAGCATGTAAAAGAAATAGGTAAATTCGTTTATTTTTGCAATGCATAAGTCACTGGTTTCGAGATCAAGGAAAAAAAAAAAGCTCGAAATACAGAAGTGACGTTAAGCTTCAGTCGTTGCGCTGTTAATAGAATTTGAATTAAACTCTGATGTTTTTAACTTATCAAAACTTCCCACCATTTTTAGATTTATCTTTCAAATCTATACTCTTTGGAATTCTTCGAGAGAAAGAAATCTAATCGAAATAGATGTAATTGCAGCTGTATAGACGTCAACGATAAGTAGGAGACATTTAGTGAGCGGCCATCAAAGATAGACACCTTGGAAATTTTATTTCCACAATTTATTTAGGTGAGTGACCGCATCAAACCTATTCTTTGGTTTAGTTCTTAATTGACGGGACGAAGCTTGTTTTTTTTAGATAAAGAGAGAAGAAACATCACAGATGTCAAAAGCAAACTGAGAGAAGCATTCAAAGTTAACCTTCCTCAAGACTTCTTTGATTTTTGGGAGTTTTGCAAGACCATCAAAAGAGATAATCCTTGCGGTGCGTTTAAAATTTTACTTTTCCAAAGTCCTCTTCCTCGTGTATTCTTCTACGCTTAAGATTCAAGCGTACGTTTTCCTTACTTAGGCCCGTATGTTAGTTTGTAGAAATTGTTGCCAGACCTATTCAGTATCTTATAACGGATAATTTTCTTCATCCTCATCATCTCTAAACCAGAAGGCAGGTTAATTTTTAGGGAGAAACTATACTCTGATCACTTGTGTAAGTATGATCAACTGTTAAATAATTTCTTTCCTTTCTTCCCAACTTATCATTTTGTGTATAATGACAGAAAAACTTCATTTTGAGTGGATCAATTTGAAGAATCCAGTATCTTAATTTCACCAAATTGCCTCTGGACATTAATTGTAAACTCTTTTATTCCCTCTTTCTTCCAATCCTATTATATGGTCGGAAGTTTGGGGTATCAATGACAAAGAGGACCTCTCTGCCTGGGAAAAAGATGAAATTGAAAAAACTCACATTTAGTTTTGTAAGCAAACCTTAAGTGTAGACAAGCAATACCCAAATGTTGCTGCTAGAAACGAAATGGGTAGACTACCGCTGAAATTAACTATAGAGACATCAATTATAAAGTTCTGGATTCATCTAAGCAACTTAGCAGACACTGATATTGCAAAACAATGCTTATTCCTCTCTGAAGAATTGGCTGATAGAAACCTCTTAGGTTTGATGCTGAGAATTAACAACTTATTGAAAAGATGTGATCCAAGTTCTATAAACTTGAAAAATAACGATACAAATATGAGAACTACTCATTTAAAGTTAAAGAGGAAGATCTATGAGGACCACCAATTAATGCTAATTTACACAAACAGAAAAGTAGACTTTTACTCCTCATTCGAAAAAGACACTAAGAAAATAGAATTTTTAGATCTAATTAACAATCCACAACACAAAATTTCCATTGATAAATTCAATTTAGGCAATCATAAATTACACATTGAAATGGGAAGATACACGACTCCAAAGACCCCAGTCAATCAAAGAATCTGTTCTTTCTGCCATTCAAATGAAATTGAAGATGAAAAACATGTGCTTTTTTGTTGTCCTTTGTATGATAGTTTTCAATTAGAACTTGACAACAAAATTGCAAGAAAGTATCCTTGCTTTGAAAACTTTGATCATAACTCTAAAGTGTTATTCCTTTTTAATAACGCTGATGCGTCTATATGTAGACTCCTTTCTGCTTTTATATTCCAAATAATGAATATCAGACAAGAAGTTCTGCTAAAGACGAAATGATGTTAAATAATTATTGTTACTTACTCTTACTTAGTAATGCCATGTACTACTTATGGAAGTATCTAATAAAGTTGTTGTTGTTGTTGTTGTTGTTATTGTATCAGGACGCTTGATTTTAAATTTGTTCTTTTCATCTGTAGAGGCACTGTGTGATTCTCTTGGCTTAAAGCTGGTTGGTCCATATGATATATTATCTGGATCATTTGATGACATCAATGAGTCAGACATCACATCATATCACCTCCACTGGAGATATTACCATGATCCTCCTGAATTCTTAACTGTCATAAAAGGGAATGATAAAACAGGATATCACTTGGGTTATTTCAGGTAAGATCTGTGGACAAAAAATTTGTTAAGAAGTCCATTTAAATGAGTTATACAACAGAGTTTTATCTCTTTATTTCTAACCCAGGAAATAAACTTTGACAAGAAAGAAATGTTTAAATGTTGGTTTTGCGTGGTGAAGAACACAAGAGGAGTTGAAACTGAGTACAAAGAAACATGAATTATAAAGGATAGTTAGATTTAATAAAACATACCATGGACTTTTTAGCTAAAAGTTTCCACTGACTCTGGTGCAGTTCCCTTCATAGATGTAGTTCTTGTTCTGGACCGTGAGGGTACAACAGAATGGAAACAGAACAATAACTACTGATACCTACATTCCTAAAAGAATGGTCAGTCAAAGGGCCTACATTCTCTCAGAATACATACATACATATGTTAACTGACCACTCCCCATGGGGGCTTTTCAGGGTCAATTCCGACCCAGCAACCACCCCAGGGGAGGACATCCATCACACAGTTATCTCGTACGTGAGAAATTAACGTCTCCTACCCCGAACCCTGCAGGAGACGGGACCTTTATTCGTCCCTATCTGAGAAGACTAGAGTATCTAACCATTTCTTGATATAGAAAGGTAGCATATTCTTCTCATTTGTTTTTAAGACCTTGAGTGTTGGTCCGGCCGGGGCCAGACAAATACAATAATAATAATAATACAATGCATGAAACCTAGTAGCTATGTGTCAGTGACTTTTGTTGTTTCTCAGGGATGACCCAAAGAGTCCTCCTGTATTTGTAGCCTCTAACCAGGCTGAGAAGACTTTTGAATTCACAGTGCTAGGGGAAAACCTTTTTGCTGCAGTCAGGTAAAGGAAATTAACTATTGGCTAAGGAGATCATGGCCTCCTCAACAGTTATTTTAAGTGAAATTGTTTCCTTCTGAATGACAGATACAGTCCAGTCCAGGTAATAGCACTCACTTATAGTATTAATTTTGGTACACTAGGATTTAATAAAATTAATTTCAATACTTTAATCATATTAATGGCTATCTGACACCAACTGTCTGTCTTTTCTCCTCTAACATTGCTTGTAGCAAGTTTCTTGATGATTTTATGAAGACGTCTAGTGCTAAATCCAAACAAAAGTCACTGAAAGCTCTTCAAGCTTCATTGACAGCACAAGCAAAAAAGTTGAAATACAGCATTGAAAAGATAACACCTGCCATCAAAGCCAGAAACAAGAGAGTTGTTAGCAAGACTTTTCACAAAGCTGGGATTGTTGTCCCTGTGGATGCAAATGATGTTGGATATCGCCCTCTTACTGTGACTGATGGTGAGTTTAGCCAACCAATGCTTTGGTGCATGTCAAGTTTGATCTAAGGAGTAACCTCATTTAAACTTTCATTCATGTAGTACTTGCCAAAATGTGCCTTTAATGATTCAAGGATTTTATGTAACCACTTACATGGGTTCAGATTAGTTGTTGAGTTCTTAGGTGTTTGCTAATTTTATTTTCAGACCAAAGCCAAGGCCTCATACTGAAATACAGAGATAATTTGTTTGCCGAATTGTTTTAGATAGTGAGCACCCTTTTCCCTGCTGCCTTAACCTTGTGTTGCAAGTAAGCTTTGAGAGTCTTTAATTATTCTCCAAACTTCCACTTGTGCCAAGACATGAGGTGGCGAGGGGAGAGTGGGGATGTTTTCTTTCATGATCTTTGCTGCATACCCTATGTACCCCAAATGTACCCACTCCATATATCTTTAACATAGACTATTTTCATCACAACACAAAATTTACAAATTCATCCAACATTGCCTAGGGTATAACACCACATCTTTCTTATCTCTAAGTGGTACTTAAGGAATACTCCTAGACCAGTACTTATTGGTAAACCTGAATCTGTTAGAATGATGTTTCCAAAGATACCAGTGTTGTCCCATTACTTGTACTTAAGCCCTCTATGAGGGAAACTACATCCACGCCACCAAGAGCTCCTTTTTCTGTTCTGTTTGCAACCAAGACCCCTTGTGGTCAACTGAGGAATAGAGACTGTTTTCATTGAGTTAACAGTGCTGGCTGTGTCGGCTATGCTGGCTGACACCAATGTACCCCTTTTTTTTCTTTTTCCCTCTGTTCCTGGCAAACAGGTGAACTGAAAAAAATTCTCAAGAGTATTACGGAAGGCAAAAGTGAGAAAGAGAAAGAACAAGGCTCGGAAGATCTCCAAGAAATCATGACTTTGGTGCAGTTTGCAAATGACGAGTGTGACTATGGCATGGGACTTGAGCTAGGACTGGACCTGTTCTGTTTTGGGAGCGAACGTTTTCACAACGCCATTCTACAGCTGTTGCCTCTTGGTTACCGGTTACTTGGCAGAGACGAGTTTGCGGAGATAGTAGAGATTCATGTCAAGAACCGAACCAGGGCTTCACTTAGCCAACTTCCTTCTTGATCACGTGACCTTTCATGTTTATCACGTTTCACGCATTTCGCGCATTTTATCACGGAGTTCAGTTGACAGCGAAAGAAATCACGTTACAAAAAAATTTCAACACATTATCATGTAAATGTTTTGTTTCGCATCTTGGATATAATCGCAAAAACAGGATCCGAAATTTCTTCTTTTTTTTTTTTTTTGCTTTTGCGCCAAGTGACGATTATAAAGCTTTGTTTCCATAGTTTGATGCAACAATTTTGTTGCCAAAATGAATTCACAAACAGCTGATAGTACACATAAATTTTGCCACAACTTTCGCGTGTTGGATACTAGCAACGCGTGTAAAGGACTGGGACTAGGCAGCCGGTTAGAGCATGCGTATTCTGCACATTTCAATTCCATTAAAACGGCGGCCAGTCGTGAATGATGAGAGGATGTACTTTGACAGAAATTAATTGCTATTTTCAGAGATACTATAATGAGCTAATCGTTGCAATGGCACGCTGTATGAATAGCTAAGCGGCGTCATTTATGCTTATGTAGACGCAATGTTTGTGAAGATAAAATGGAACTCTGGAACTCACTGGGCTAGGAAGAAAAAACACACGCCTAAAACAAAACAGTGAACTTATATGTCACGGGTTGAGCTGTGAAGTATTTATGTCTTGCCGCAAAAGTGTATGGATGCAACACGGCCTGAACCACGACGTCAATCTAAGAACATGGTTGAGTAAAATTTATTATCTGTTCAAATCCAAAAGAGGATTTTCCTCCAAAATCTTCGCTTTTTAATTGAATTGTTTAGTTTGAGTTCTAGAATAGATCATAATACGATTTTCCTTATTTACACGCGGATTAAAATAACAATCAAGGCGTGCCTCGCAGTCCATAAAACCTCCTGTATTTCGGAAAATCTTTTTGTTTTAAGTTTCTGTTTGTTTTTCTGCTTACTGGGAAACGCTGCTGGACTGTTATACGGTTATTTAAAGAACAACGACGCTGTTAATGGTGGAAAATTTTCGAATTAGCTTAAAGAAACACCATTGGCTTGTTGAGGACCAGAAATTTTGAAATTGGGCCGAAAATTTGCCTGAGTTTACAAAGCCAGTTTTGGGACAGCCATCTTTTTGTCGCTAAATCACTCATTGTATTCCTTCACTTGATATTTACGAGTCGTTTTTTCTTACATTGGCAAGCTAAATTGAATCTTGGAGATGAAAAAAAGGGATAAAAGTTGAAACAGGACCTCGATATCCGGTTGCGTATTTCCGTCAAAACCACTGGATGCATTTCCCCACACCCTTGACACATCATTAAATCTAGGTTAAACTGTGTTTGTTTTTCATATTTCACACCCTTGGCACTTCGTTAAGCTGTCTTTGTCTTCACTATATTTTTTTTTGTCAAACCAAAACGTCTTTCATGAGCGATTTCTAATTACAAAGACGACTTTCGTGCCATTGTTCCACTTCGAGAATTACCCCCTTTTTTTCAATCTCGGATGACCATTCCACATCAGGTATAAAGAGGTGTCGCCCGTGACATCATATATCACTTTGTAACAGGATGGTCGCAAAAAAATTTTTAAAAGTAAAGACTAATTGAGTAAACGGAAATGCCACCTAATGTTGTTGACACGTGATATCCGGATGCAGGTTGAGTTTGATAATTTTTTTCTTGAAATAAACTTTGACGCAAATTTGGGTGTAGTTGCCGAATAATTGATATTTAATTATCTATCTTCTTCTGTAGGCGCCATTATTTAGCCAGGTCACTCAAAAACGCTTTGGAATGGAATACCAGAATTTTGAAAAGAAAATTATCTTTTCCAGTTTCCCGTGAAGTGGCCGGGGCAAAGTTGCATTTCTTTTACACGGACAGAAAATCGATGAACTCTCAGTAAAGATCCGTTTATATTTAACTCTTTCATCCAACTGCTTTCTCTTTTATGCAATTATTATCATTCAACTTGAGAAATTCGCGTGATCACCAAAAGAAAACAGTTTTAGCCTGTTGACAAAGTTTGAGATGCAATCTTTTCGCTGATTAAAAGTACAGCCCCCATAGGTCGGGTAAAACGAAAAAGAATGTTGTGATAAGCTTTTTTTTTTTTCTCTCTAGGCCTGTTTATTATTTTAATCGCGCATAGACATATTTTTCGAAATAAATTTAATAAGATTTTACTGACAGACGAGTCGAAGGACAGACAGGCAGACAGGAAAAAGACCACCATGTATATCAAAACGGACCGTCTTTACGTTGGAATCAAACGAATGTTTCCCCCCAAAAAATAAATACATGTTTTAGCGAGGTCAAATTTTGAACATGGAAGTTAATATTTTCCACTAATAGGGTCTTGTAATTAGATTTAAAATAGAATCCATTACTTTTTTGTAAATCTTTAAGATCAAGAAAACTCTTCATTCAACAACTTTGAAAATAGGACTAAATGAACTGAGCTGAACTTCACAGTGAAACAAAATGATGTAAATGGTGTCCGTTGATTTTATACCAGCAATTGATGAAAATTATATTAGAGGTTTGGGAAGGTTGCAGTGCTAAATTCAAAATGATACACGTTTCATTAAGTAACTAAAGTTCCAAGACAAGAATACATTTAACTGGGAGGTGTCTGTCGAGAATTGCTATCGTCCCGAAATAAACTGAAACCTTTTGCACGTTCTTAACCATTAATTGAATCAAGGTAAAAATTTCTTATGTGACATAAGTTTGACGTAGAGCAACTTATCATGAGGGACTAATGATTTAATATTCTTGAGAATATATATATTCCACCGTTTGAATGAATCTCAGCCTTTTAACTTAGCTGTGACGGACCTTCGTGATATAAACAACAACTCTCCATGCAGGAGAGGAAATCCAACTGAAGTGTTAAGTTGGTCGTTTCTCAACAAGTTGAACGCAAAAGATCGGCAGCACTTCAGAGGTTATTTGTTCAAAATTTAAAGAACAGATTTTTATGCGAGAATAAGCTGGACCTATCGATTATAGATACGCGCTTTGAAATTTTGAAGTAAATTCAATTAGTTTCGAAATATTGTTATATTTGGTGAAATATTTACATGTGTGAGGAAATGTTTTTTGTCCTACAAAAATAAATGTCAACTTTTCAATATACAACTGATATCAGAATATACAGTATATATAGACAACTGAATGCACTATCTAAATCATAAATTTCCAACCGTTAAAAACTGTGTGTGAACGTGTTATTTCAGTTAATCATCCGCCATGCTGTACAATCTTCGGATTTCATTTGGGCTTGTTTTAGTGCTTTCAAATGTTGTCTCGTTCTTTTTCATTTTCATTCTTCGGTTCTGAAACCATATCTTGATGTGTTTTTCCGATAGATTTAAAGACTTGGCCAGCTCTATCCTTCGTGCTCTGGTTATGTATCGGCTAAATAGAAACTCCTTCTCCAACTCGACTTGCTGTCTTGTCGTGTATGCTGTTCTTGCTCGCGAGCGTACTGTAGCGGACGACCAAGATTCCCTTCCACGACCTTTTGGTCTCTCCTCTGACGAAAATATTACACAAGAATCATGGCACTGTGTTAGTTTGGTAAACTCTACTGCAGCTAACTGTTCTGACGCTTAAAAGTGAAAGATTTAAAAAAAAAAACGCATCAATTCAAACTCTTGTAGCGTTTTCGAGTCTTCATAAAAGAGTTCTTTGACCGAAGAAGATTACCGAGGTAAATTGCTCTAAAGAGTTGAATTTGCCTGACTAAGCTTATCCGTTCGGTTAAATGTTTGACGGATCGTAAATCAAAATGGATTAAAATACCATTTTTGACTCTAAAAACTGCTTATTGCATTGAATTATCAGCTGGCATCTGTTACGCCGTCGGACCCAGCCTAAATTACTCCTGGGACAATGGCACTTTTAGCAATTTTTTTACCAAAAATGTTAACGTACAAACGCACCGAGGAGACTTATCGTTACAATCAAACAGCTTTTTCAATTCGTCAGAGAATGTCCAAAGCTCTTGCTCAGACATTGTGCTTTGCACAATATTTCAAATCATTTCCTAATTAAATTAAGAACTGCCTTAGTTTTCGAACGTTTAAGCGTTCGGCCATTTGAGCTCGCTCGTAATCTGCGACGATCTTCAACATACTGAATCAGAGCAAACATTTGGTTGAATAAACCTTAGCTTTTTCTTTCCTAGAGGATCAAACCACAACGATCTGCTTGGAAAGGAAATTAGCTATTCAGCGGTTAATTTGATACACAATGACTCGTAAAAACAGCGTAGCCATGGATTAGTAAAGAAATCATGGAAGTGAAAGAAATACACGGAAGGACTTTGTGGTCAACCTGAGTTGAGCTTACAAGCTAATTTCTGTATGAGATCAAACGTGTTACTGTAGCCATAAGGTTGAAACCTCACCTTGAACACGTAGCGCGATTAACGAACATAAATCATTCCACAGAACATGGTCAGTGCAAAGTCACAGCTTCATAAAAAGAGGTGGACTGTTTGTGATGTCCTTCGCCGCATGCAGGAAATTGGAGGTACATCAATAAGTGAGTTTACAACCTGGTTTGTCACTGGTTTTGAAATAATCCAATGTGGATAAATCGAACCATGTCTTTGATCAAAACGAGCTGTTGTTTTCAAATCTGAAGTCTTCTTTGTGAATAAGTCACTCCCAGACGGACTTGAATGACAAGTACAGAAATCGAGAAGGGGCGCTCGCTGATAGGATTGAATTCAGAGCTCCAATTAGATTCCTCTTTTAGTTGTTTTACTTTGTCAACAAAATGTAATGGCATAAGGAACTGAACGTTTAACAAAGTCGCCTAATTAAGCTTCGGTAAACTAAATCGTGCATGTAAACACGTCAAGAAGACTCAAACACAGCGGAACTCCAAAGGAATGCTCGCGCCATGACCTAGAAATGCTCCATTTTGCTCCCTTGGATTTCCTTATTCGAAGAACGCAGCGAACCTTCCTAGCGTCTTGGGCGGCCCTTTCGTACTTAGACTTTCACTAAATGGATTTTCATCTGAGTAACAATCAGTCCTGTTTTCTGTACAAAATCTCTCTCTCAGGCTGAGGAGAAATCACCCAACTGAATCACCACGGAAGAAGTATTTAAGTCGAAAAGACATTCAGTGCGTCATTTCTAAGACGGCAAATGTCCAACGCGCGAAATTCCTACACCGCCGCCTCGAGTTCTAGTCTTACCTCTGCGGATAAGAAGTAGGTAAGCGGCTAAAGGCGTCAACAACAATATTTCCGATTATTCTTACAGAATGAAAACTTCAATCTAAGCTTGGTTGTCTTCTTTGACAAGATGACCACCGTCACATTTTTCACGACAAGAGCAAAGGGCAATTCACGTAATTGTAAGATTCTTAAAAAACCGAGGTTGAGCCGCGGAAGTTGAGGATATAGAAGTGGGTTAAACGTCGGCACCAGAGCTGTAAACGTAGTGTTAATTTGTGTGTGAAAAGTCAGCTTATTTTTTAATGGATGATTAGTTGTGAAAGGAATATAAAAAGCCCACCTGTGTAGGGATTGAAACAGTGGAGTGCATCTTCCCCGCAGGACGTCCTACCCCTGTTTGGGTAAACCCTTGCACCAAATGGCGGTAGCGCTGAATTCAAGTCTTGTACAAAAGACTGAGAAACTGTTTGGAAGCCATTGGAGATCTCTGGAAGGACAGGGATGATCCAGTCTAACGGTACTTGCTCGGGAGCTTGTGTTTGGCCGTATCGAAGGTATGGTGTAACTTGATGAGCCCCAGTGTTGCTGGTTTGCGCATTATTGTAAGGCTGAAGTTGTGTTCTACTCTTTCCAAGTGCATTCTGCGAGTTCATGGGGTAACTAAGTTCGAGAGCAGTGCTGTTAAATCGATCCATGGTTTTTGTCATGTTGCGTGTACTATACATGGTATGGTTGACAATGTCTTCTTGAAGTGAAGTGCAGCAGGTTTTTATTTGGTTTCACGGGCTCTGTGGTCACGTGTCACACATTGTTATCCAATTACATGAATCGCCTCAGACGTTAGAAATAATGAAGTGATAATATCCCGTCAAGAGTCTATAGAAATTCCGATGGTAAGAGAAGAAATCGCTAAAATAAACTTATCCCGGCTGAAACACTTCAGGCATTTGCCTAGTGTCAAGAATCACTTGTTCAAAACATTCCCTATGCTTCAATGTCATCAAGCTCTCAAGAATCCTTCTTTTTTTCCGGCTGAGGACGATAATCACCGTGATTTGTGCACCAGTGAAAGAGAATGTTAAAAAAACTTCACTAGTTTTGGAATAACACCCACTTATGATATATCAGAGCGTTTGTTTTATTTAACAGCAAGAGTGCAGTTTAACCCAGGAGGCTTGTGCCAGCTTAAGTGAAACACTGCAACGAAGAAGTAAAGTGGCAGTGGTCGCAAATTAATACGCATTACAAAGGCAAAAAATCTAAAACGGAATCGTCTGACAGAAGTTGATCTTTAAATTTTTGATTTAGAATGACAATTTTTCGGCCACGAACATCTTTTGTAAAGTGTGGCATCGAGCGTAACTCATCAAAACTCATTAATTATACCATTTGACAGCTAATGCAGGAATCGATTACAGATGAGAACTTCATTGTGTTTACTGACACACGTGAGTTTGTTTTAAAATTATCTCGCTTCCTTGTGCCATATTCTTAAGATCTCCACTATTGATTGTATTCCCTTTACTGTTGACATCTAGCTCCGTCATTCCTTCGCCAAAAAGTCCTCAACAAATCGGGAACGGCATTATTTTCTTTTCCTTAAAGTGGCGAAAGTCACTTTAGAATTTGAACTTAATTCCTGTGTTTCCTGTTTAGTCACAAAGAATTCAAGGATTTAGTTTGTTTTAGATTTCATGTATTTTTAAAGCGACAGCCGATTAAAATTCAGCCAGAGACTTAAAGCAAACAAATTTTTGTTAAAAGACCCAATAGTAACTCTCAGATAGTTCTACATTCCTACAAACACAGCTAAAATTAGTTATAAAATTCTCAGGTAATTCGATTTGGAAGTTTTAGTTCAAAAAAAGGACTGAACTAATTTGCAGAATGTTGACGGAAGGAAACACCTTAGTAGCTGTCAATTCTTTACAGATCTCGTGATGCAAACGATCCCTTCCCTTCCTTATCACAAAAACAATCACATTCGAGCTGCCAAACACACTCACTCTCTACAAATAGTATCTGTATTCTCCATAATGTCCAAATTTTAGATGTTGATCGTTTACCGTCCGTGTCAATGTGTATGTTTTTATATCCCTCTCCCCTTTCTTTTCTAGCTTAGTCTCCTCAATTTGGGTTTTTCTTTCATACCAAACTAATATATATATTTTTTCATATCAGAGGTTTTTTTCGCACTTTGCGGTAAAACGACTCAAACATCTCACGTAGCACAAGCTACCCTTGAAGCTACTCTTGAAAATCACGAAAAGGTTTTAGAGGAACACGAAAGCGTTTTATGTCTTTTTTGAAAATTAGCAAACTAATAAAAAAATATGACACAAAGTAATTTTTTTTTTGTTAAACCAGAATCTTTTTTCTGCCCTACTCGTTTAGAGGAAGAAGGATATAATTAGGTTTGGGTCATACTAAAACTTAAAGAAAACACTAATTTCATTTCCTTACCGTAGTTCTTCCTGAAAAATCAAGCTGGGAAATTGTGAGCTTTTGCAGGAGTGATGCGTAAACATTTCTAGCCGAAACAGAACAAAATAAGTTCAACTTCCATCGACTCTTACGAAATCGGTAGAAATATTTATTGAGGAAAATCGCAAGAGGTTTGACCGTCTCAGAGAAAATAACGAGCTATGCAGAGTAGAAGAGTCCGTATTTAATTTATCATCATGAAAATGGCGCTAAGTAAGGGATTGACTGAACATGTTGTTTTTGTATCAAGGCTGTGAAATAATTTAATTTTAGAACCGTGTAAACATTTACGGATAATTCAAAGACAAGTATTTCAGCTTCATATACATTTTGTAAAACGTTCCATAGTATGTATGCAAGCTTACAAATTTTACAAATTGCTCTTGATACCGGTTACGTTTTTGTAATCAACAAAACCATTTGGTGCCAATAATAACCCTGTCATACAATATGGATCAAAGAGTTCGGTCTTTACAAAGCCGGAATCTGCATATGAATATATTGCCAAATAAATAAAGGGTGTCAGTTTCTGAAGAAACTGTGGTACAGCTTCGGTGGGAGCAACAAGGTGTTTTGGTTCTATCAACTGGGTTGATGAAGTAAACTGGCCACCGTAGAATTTCCATGCTGACTTTTCGAGCGTTAGCCCTTCGTCAGAGCGAATGGAGGAACTGTGGGTTGTGTTAATATATTGGCGGTCAAGTACTTTTTAAAAATAATCATGATCGTTCACATGGCTTTAAAAAGCAATAACCTTCCTACACTTGAATCGGATACGGTCCGGAGAACAGAACGCTTGAGGAATTAAAGATGAACGGGCATATTTTCAAACAAAATGAAGGCAGCTTGTCTATCACCCTTTTAATGTCTTCAATCGCAATGAAGCATCACAGTTTAACGGTGCAGTCAGAGCTTTCCCTCTACTTCCTTGCGAACAGTTGGTGCAGGTGGTTGCAGCAGCCTCTTCGTTTAATGCACCCAGAAAATGAACCGATAACAATAGCCTGTTGTGTAAATCTACCGTCGATATTTTTGTAGGGTAACCTACATACTCAGTCTCTTTCTGGCTTGTCTGCGATGCTGTCTCGCCATGGGGACAACACGCATACCCACAATTATCAGCGTGCCGTTGTTTGGAGCTGCGGCCCTCTGTGTCAATAGTATTCCAATCTCTTACCCCTCCGCCTCGTATGAACGCGAGCAGCTGAGAAATCGAGTGTGTTATTTGTATTTTATCGACAGAACTAAAAAATGGATCTGATTTCGCTTGCGTTTCTTCTGAATTTCCGGGAGAGCAAAGTCTAGGGCCGCAAGGCGTAACCATTATAACGACATAGTTTCGTTCATAGTTACATGGTCCTACGATGTACTTTTGGCAAATGATCTTACTAGTTCATTGGTTTAGGGATTTGAATTTCACGAACCGCGGAATGGGCCCGAAATTGTAAATGGCGACCGCACCCTCTCCTCTTAATAAAGGCTGATAGTTTCGAAAGGAACTGTTTGGGGCTGCGTCGGTGGGAGTAACGAAATTTGGATATATCAACAAAGTTGAAATGGTAAATTGGCCATCGTAACGATTACAAAAGCTGACGTTTCGAGCGTTAGCCCTTCGTCGGAGCGAATAGAGGAATTGTGGGTCGTGTGTGCTTTTAAAGGCAGAAATGGAGCTACGTTATTGGTGGGAAGCTCCATTTTCTGCCTTTAAAAGCACACACAACCCACAATTCCTCTATTCGCTCCGACGAAGGGCTAACGCTCGAAACGTCAGCTTTTGTAATCGTTGCGATGGCCAATTTACCATTTCAACTTTGTTCATATATCCAAATTATTCCCTCTCCTCTTAGCCGATCTGACCACATTCCTACGTGTTGTTGTTAGTTGTTTGTTATTCTTCCTTGTATTCACCTAGCATTGATAAAACAACTCACAACAACACACAGGAATGCACACAGATCAGCCAAGGATATTGGGTGCGGTCGAGATACAAAGTTTTGGAACCATTCTCGGGTTCGTTGACTCCCCAGCAGATTTGGCTGCAAAATATGGAACCATTCTTCACACTTGCGTAAATCTCCCTAACTGCGTCTTGCAAAGTGGACATAAATGGACCACGTCCTTAAATGATTTGATAAAGAAAGGTATTAAACAGCAGCCAAAATAACAACCAAAGGCACACAACAGACCCGCTAGTGCCCAGGTTGCGCTGCTTACGCGGTATTCACTGTACGTCAAGACCTGGATCCCACATGAAGTGCAACAAGTCGAGCCGGGGACGTCTTTAGAGCTTTCAGACCTTGCTTGTGGTTGAACATCAAAGATCTTTCGACCAGTATTCTTGGTGAACATTGTTTCCTGAACAAGTTGAAGGCTCACACTGCTTCTGCTACTTTCGCTTAAACTTTTCGCCGAAACTGAAGGAAGGCAAGTTATTGCGGGAGTTATGCAAAAGGCCTGTGGTACTGTGTACTTATTCGGAAAACTTTCCATTGGGCTTTCGTGCCCCATCGACAAATGTGTCTCTTTAGAAAAACTAGTGCCACCTTCAAATGACTCCAATAAAGCGGAAATATTTGTTTCGGAACAATCAGAAAATCTACCAGCCTGGCGTAGGTATAGGTTAGACATTTCTACCGACTTAGGTCCTGCAAAAGTATAATAGAACCTGATCAATTTGCTGTTGACCGTTTCATCAAATAACATTTAAGGGTTTAAGGGCTACGCTCGACCAGAATGCTTTGCGGGGAATTTGCCATTCTCAGCATTTTTTGTATTATAGAAAAAGAAAGCCTATCGTGTGTAATATCATTCGACTAAGTATTAACAATCTTGATTGAGAACCGGATCTTTATATCCTCATATTTTACCCTCATGACGGGATATTTTTTTCCCTTCTGGAAAGAAAACCATGAAACGGTCTAAGTTGCCCAAAGCGGAAAACAGACACGAAAAATCAATTCTACATAGAAAAGTAAACTGAATAAAAACACAGACAGTAGTTTCGCGATAGGTGGAACAATGAAAGTAATAATGTTAACAGTAATGGTATTGATAAAAACAAATAAAAGTGATAATAATGATGTTATTGCGTATATACAGGGTTCTGTTGTTCCGTCCTAAACAAATAGGTCGGTCGCTAAAGTTTCTCAAACATATGTGGCTGCCGATTCTAATTCTGGGGAGTAATTTTAAATTACGTTTTTGATCGCTGACAAGGAAGGTTTTCGAATACAAGGATGGATATACTTAGCTAAAAACGCTTTAAATTGGTGTTGCTGGGATGTGGAGCGATATACGGGTATTTTGAAAAGCTAACGTCAAATTAGTATCTCGGTGTGTTACCGCATAGCCTCCCTTGACAGTGTCTAAAGATGTATTTTGTATTCAAAGGACTTTTAGGCCATTTAGAACTGAACAAATGTGTAATATATACCGCATACAGCTTTAGACTTAAAACGATGACATAACCCGGAAGGTTTGTCTGTTGATAGAATTTTCAAACTAGGTAATTTAAGTTGAAGAAAATGTTGTAACGAATATGCGATTTCGACTCATCGGCGCTTCGAATGTTTTCATAAGTATTTTTTCTGCACAACTCCTCGCGGTTGCAATAATTTTCCAAAATACACACACTTATCATAAAAAAAAACTATTCAATCGTTGATTTTATTTTTACGTGAAATTCTTGCTCCAAATAACGAGATATACTTGGAAAGCTGCCATACCTCAGTAAGATGTTTAATTAAGTAATTTTCGAGCGGCGTAAGAGAAAAAATAATAAATCAATTCGTAATATTTTTTTTTTCTTAAAACAACTGTTTTGCTATTATCGCCGTTAAGTTCATTACTTTATAATGCCCTTCATTATTCCAAAAGACTAAATATATGTTGAGCAAGACGCCTCTTCTGAATGTTGATCGATTGAAAGAAAACGTTTTTTAAACTTGCGACTAAAATTCGCCTTCAACGGAAATTACGG